CAGATGCGAAACACGACACTTGGGAGCCGGTAGAAAATCTAGCCGGCCTCGAGACCTTGATCAGCGAATTCCGGCAGCGGTTCAAGGAAGAGCAAGAACTCCTTGAAACACAAGCTGCTGCTGCACGAGGTCTCTCAGGCCGAAACTTTGCATACATACAGCTCATTCATAGACGAACACAATGATATATTGTTTGTTGTGATAGAATTGGTAAAACCCAAAATCTGATACCCATTAGGGCACAATTGGTTATCATGAATGGTATCGATAGGTATCGTTATCGTTCTCAGTCGATAGGTTCGAAAAATTATCGTTATCGTTCGATTATAAAATTTGACTTATTCATCGTTATTTGATAAGTTCAAAAAATCACGATACCGAGCCTTGGTTGATATAGCCTCGGTAGAAATTTTGGGGTATCATATCAATTGATATTGCCTCGGTAGGAATCACTATCAATTGATGTGCATTTGCTAGAATTGCAATCAATTGATAATATAATGTAAAAATCACAATCAATCGATAGCTGACTTCTTTTATCACAATTTATTGATAGGACAATTTAGGATATTACTATTAATCAATTGAAAATTTGGAATGATCAAAAACTATCGATACTGCTTGTTCCAACCGATTCCATGCCTTGGTGAAGGGCTCAGGGTCGGTACGCACCAGTGGCTGGTCGTGCTCGTGGCACAGGTCAGCGAATTCTTCGTCGTTCTCGTTGTCGAAGGCCGTCTGGAAGGCCGAAACCACCTCGTCCAAGTCCATGGCGGCATCCCGCAGGTCAACATCGCACGAACCACACACCTCAGGGCAACGTGCAGTGTCGTGAAAGTGTCCAGGGCAGAGTGGGCACTCCTGTACGAAGGCTGAGGATGCGGAGTGAAACGAGATGCTCCTAGCACCTTGCGCCCTAATACCTTGAGGCCAATTCCCGCCCTTCGGGAGTGGGGACGCTCCGAAGCGGTGCTTCCATCCCACGTGACGATTACGCCCGTGAAATTTACCGTCGGTACGACGGTTTCGTTCATCGCGCCACTTGGACGGTGGAAATCTCACACCACCGCCCCCATGCGGACGGTGAGAGTCTCTCCGCGGCGGCGGTGCGTCTCGTGAAACATCACGCTCGTCATGTCGTAGGGAGGCAAGAAGGTTAGTGGCCTCACCAATCACACGAGCGAACTCCTCAAGGAAGTCCGTAATGTCATGCTGCTCGCTACCCGTGTAGGCCATCCCGAGAGGTGTGTGCGTCGGGACAGGTGCGGCCGCCTTGGGGCGGGTGGGAGGGCCATTAGGGTTCGCACACCACCAAACCTCTAGAACGTGGGTGTAAATCTCTTCGATGCCCACCTTCGCCAGCTCAGTGTCCAGGCGAAGTGGGGTAACCACCTCCTTGTAGAACTCGACGTCCAGTGCCGCCAGCAGCTGCCTCTTGGCGGCCTCGTCGTCCAGGGGGCCCGCTCCGCTAGCCGCGATAGCTTTTAGACACTCGTCAAATTGCGCTACCAAGGGCTCAGGGTCATCAGACGAACCAAAAGAAATGCTCAAGAGTTCTTCGTGGTGGCGGAGCGGCCGATGCCCAGGCGGCAGCAGCCGCTTGGTCACCTCAAGGAGGGCACGCTTACCGTCGCGCGGAGAGATCCGAGCCGAAGCGTCAACCCACCTTCGAGCTGGAGAGTGGGGCGTTGTCAAAGAGACCAACGCACGAAGTAAAATGTCGTTGAAGATCGGGTGAACCTCCTTGGTGACGTCCACGAGGTCAAAGATGTCCTCGTTGGCGTTGTCCTTGTTGACAAATTATGCCTCCAAGGCAGTAACCAAGGAATCCCAAAGAAGTTGGCGATGAGGTTCACTTCCGGAAAATGAGGACGCCTTAGTACCTAAGGTGTCCTTTGCAACACGCTTAACGACGTCAGTGTCCCAGGATGATTGCAAAACGGCATTGCCGCGTGTTCTGTCAGCAGCAGCGAGTACAATTTTCGCTGACTGCGGGGTGCTCTTATAGCGAGCACCCACATTTCTAGCAAAAATGGAGTCTAGGCGCATTCTAGCGCCCACGGCCGGTGTACCAACGGAGGATGAAGTCATCAGAATAAATTCCTATAGGAGGGGGGTTGGGGAAAAGGCGAGGTGCAAATTGTAAGGTGGCGGGCGACCGTAATGCAGTTGCGGAGTAAGGAGAAGATGGGGTCGAACGAAACCAACGAAGTCGAATACGCGACGGCCAAGGAGATGTTGACAGGGGTGATCAAGCCAAGTCTAAAACAAAATCCAACGCGGACACTCGAAGAAGTCGCCGAAAGTCCCAACTCGAAATCTCACCGCAACATGGTGCAAACCGCACGCCCTAAAGTGGCCAATTCAACACCTCGCGAGGCCCCAACGCCCCGCCAAGCGGAAAAGTTTAGCCAATCATGGCAAAGTCAGCAGTGATAAAAGCGGGGTAATACCCCATAACCTGTGAGATATAATATACCGTATTATATCGGGGTGGTCACTGAATACTTTTCATACAAGTGTAAACTGTTTATAAAGGTAAACGAATATATAATGCATATGTGACCTAGGTATCTGTCACCAAGTATTGTACGAGTACTGGTACAGTCGAACGGAGTCATGCACGGTATGACCTACGGTGCACTGAATCCAGCAACCGTCACCAATAGACGGGAAACACCCGTTAGGTATTTATGTGATCTCTACTTTTATCAATGACACTTTTATCGTTCTGACTTCGTAAGCCTCAACCCATGGTTTATATCAACTAGCTAGATATATACAACATACCTATATATCTAACAGGTGCCGATAGCCGATTGACCCGCCGGTGTCAGCGGTGGCGTGATCTTTCCCGCGGGAGCCGGCATCATTCGTGGAGCCCGAGGAGAAATCTCGGGCTCCGATCGACGACTCGTTTTCGGACGTGGACGAGAAGGATTCACCTACTCCAATCGACGGGGGGCCACATGCGGTGACACCTTGCGGTGTTTCAACGGTGCGCCCTCAACAGGTGGTGGGCTGCGGTGTGCCGCCCTTCGGCATGCGTCCGTCCTTCCTTATGCTGGCATGTTTCATTGCTGTGTTTCGGCATTGCCGGGGCTGCGGCGGGGTTCGGCGACATGGGCACCAGCACTGACGGCATCTCCGCCACCGAAGACCCGGTGATGTGTAAGGGGGCACTTTGCATTTACTCGGGGGTGGACAAATTGTCCCCCGAGGCACGGCAGCAGGTACTGCAGCTGTTTGCTGCAGCTGGTGGTGGCATGGCGGCAGCTGCACCTGGTGGTGACCTGGCATCGGAGCATGGCGGTGTGGCCACCTGGGATGTTCCCTGACTTTGTGGATGCACACCGGTCAGGTGGTGGTGACCTGGTGTGTGGATTTGCTTTGACTTGGTGGCAACATCTTCAATTCTTTGACTGCTACCAGTTCTTCAAGCCTTTTGTTTTACACAAGCATCTTATTGGTATTAACAATTCACATAACCTGTTTGGTTGTGACTGTTTGTTTTAGCTCGGCAAGAGATCAGAATAACACAGTAGGATTTGTGGGCCAAGTGCCCTTAACTTTATCTGCTGACACTGACTTCTCTGTGACAGTCCCCACTCTCCTGTACGGAGGTGGTGTGCTGAGATCTGGGTATCTAGGACCTAGCAGGCAACCCTGACAGGCAGGCCCCTGACCCCTGCCTCGATTCCGTCCAGAGGTAGAGACTGTGACATCTATGTCACTGGTCAGTAGTTTAGTCTCCGACACGTGCCGCTCCGACCGTTCCGACCGAGCGAGGTTTTAGGTTTCAACTCTCAGTTATGTTTTTATCACTTAAGCTATATTCAGTTTCCGTTCTTACCGATGTATTCTGAACTTATACATCGGAGATATACCCGCAGTATATCGGTATCCGTTGTTGTCGCCTTGATGCCACAATTCGTGCATGCTGTGACTCTTGACACATCAACGCCCACACTCACCACGACCGGACACAAGCATATACGCAGTCTGCGAGATCACCTCCAGCTCTTTAGCCCTTTAGTCCATCGCCGTTTCTCGTGTGGCTCATGCCTTCTCTGCTGGCAATTTCAGCCATACGTTAGCTTTCTTAAGTTTCTTCTACGACGTCGAAAGAGTGCCAAAGTTGCCGGGTGAGCTCGGCGAGAGTGGTGATACAACGCGTGCGTTCTGCATCTAGCAAATCCCCCGCCCGGCGCCATGTTTGTCAAAATCCGCCGGGATTCAGAGCTGTGTGCGATACAGTACTAACAAATAGTGATCTGCCAAGTTTAAACACATGAAAAGTCGCATTAGTATAGTGGTTAGTATCCCTGACTGTCACTCAGGAGACCTGGGTTCGATTCCCAGATGCGGCGGCAGGGTTCTCGTGGTGTAGTTGGTTATCACGCAAGTCTAACACACTTGAGGTCTCCAGTTCGAGCCTGGACGAGAATACAATGTCGGCGGCGATAGCTCAGTTGGGAGAGCGCCAGACTGAAGATCTGGAGGTCCCCAGTTCGATCCTGGGTTGCCGCATTGTACAACACCCTTTGAGCGGAGAATTTCAATTTTATCATATTGACAGCTCTACTCTTGACGCATCATCATCACCTGTAGGCATAGGCAATAACCTCCGATGACGCCGGCCTAGAGCCAGGCTCTAATGGCGGAGAACGAAGCCATACAGTAGCCACGACCGATGTATTCACATCAGGCGCAGGCAGTGCGAGCAGAATATCTTCCGCAGGGGGGGGGGTGTCGGTGAATCAGGCAGAACCGTACAGATGGAAATTATCGCTTCGTATATTTATCGGTGGCATATGTACGATACTGCTGATAAGATACAATATACATGTATTTACTATATTCATATACTCATATCCTTAGAGTCATTAATATGATAAAATTTTCCACGCAAAGGGTGTTGTACAATGCGGCAAACCCAATCTCAAACGGTCTCCTGGGTATCTTCTCGGCCTGGGTGCTTCCAATCGAGCTATCGCCGCCGACATATTCGTCCGTGCTCGAACTCGAGACCTCAAGTGTGTTAGACTTGCGTGATAACCAACTACACCAACAGAACCCTCGCTGCCGCATCTCTGAATTTGAACCTGTGTCTCCGAAAGGACAATGGGATACTAACCACTATACTAATGCGACTTTTCATGTGTATAAATTTCAGATCACTATTTGTTAGTACCGTATCGCACAACAACCCGGTGGATTTTCACAAACATGGCACCGGGCGGCTTCAGATGCGTTAACGCACGCGCGTCGCCGTGTCACATGTTTGCAAGACTGCTCTCTCGCCGAGTCTACTCGGTAATAACCTTGCCTGGCTCCATGAATCTTGCGACTTTAACCACCGGGACCGGCGAGATTTTCCGCAAGTCGCAACCCCCTCGCTCCCGCCCGGCCAGCACCGGAAGGTTCTATCTATCGAGAGCAAAAAGTGACGAGTGGGAGGGCGAGTCGGAGCCCCCCGCCAAACGGGAGCGGAAGCAGTGCGCGTGCCGATGAATAATGCCGAGATTAAAAACGCACATTCGGTGCGTCGCGCCGGCTGGCGCTGGCGATGGCGCTGGCATGGGAGCGCATGCGTATACCACAGCGATTTTCTTCTACCCTTTTCAATTTCATGCCGATGCGTTGCGTCGCCCTTTATGCATCACAGTTCACCAGTCAGTGTAGTGTCATAAGGAGTTAAAGATTGTAGACTCCTTCGTCACGCACGCGACGGGGTTTCGTCGGACGCCTCAAGAAGGATGCATATATCCTCACCAGACAAGCTCTCTCACTAGTCAATAGATGGCCATACAGGCCGGTGCAACTCTTCCTTGGTTGGCTGTAGTAAAGTGGCCTTAGCGACGGGGCTCGTCCTTACTTAACCAACACGTAAACTCCGAGAAGAACTTGATAAAGCCTGCTGTGGGGCGAAATTTGTGGGTTTGTCACTACCCACGTCCACTTCACATCTTAAGTTTGTTTTCCTGGCCTTCACCTCGGGGCCTCTCCCTCTTCCCTACTTCACCGCAGTGTTCCAGAGCCTCACAAATGTAGTGAGCAAGTGTTGCGGTACCTGGTCTGCTGTCGGTGCACCGTGCTCAGGGGACTGCACGTTGAGGCTAATTTATCAACATGATTACCACCACGCTCATCGCAACGCTCTCGGGCACGCGAACGCGCACCTGGTCTGCACTACGAGCTACTTCCTGGGCACATCACCAAACCCGCAGATGCCCTCAATCGACAACCCGCGCTCTCCGAGCCGGCAGGTGTTTGCAACTTCGATGGTTTCCGCCTGCTGCTCTCGCTATGTCGTCGAGGACGGCGTTTCATATGAAGCGCGCAATCTCTTCTCATTGCCCAGCGCGCAGTTCGTGCTGGCGCGCCCGAACGTTTCGACCCTTCCGCGACTCCTTCGACGGTGCATATGTCTACAGCCACAACTTCAAGAGCTGTTCAATCCGCGTCTTTATTCCTAGGGGTACCTGGCATGCAAATTATGCTTCGATCGCTTCGGAATCCCATCGCTTCACGCTACTGCCAGTACCTCTTGGGAGTGTCACGACTATTGACGAACTATCGACTGCCTGTGTGAATCAAGATGGGTAAACGTGGACGTGGAAGTAAGCCTAACCATGTGAAACTCGTCGCCCAAGGGAAAGGCCCTATCAAACGGACGCAGCAAACCCCTTTCGACCCTGCTGGCAGTGATGATATCGTTTACAGCGTGCGAGAGAATAAGGCAGAGCGGGTGGCAAAAGGCAACGCGCAATGGCTTGTTGGCTGGGAGAACTTTCCAGATGCGAAACACGACACTTGGGAGCCGGTAGAAAAAATCTAGCCGGCCTCGAGACCTTGATCAGCGAATTCCGGCAGCGGTTCAAGGAAGAGCAAGAACTCCTTGAAACACAAGCTGCTGCTGCACGAGGTCTCTCCGGCCGAAACTTTGCATACATACAGCTCATTCATAGACGAACACAATGATATATTGTTTGTTGTGATAGGATTGGTAAAACCCAAAATCAGATACCCATTAGGGCACAATTGGTTATCATGAATGGTATCGATAGGTATCGTTATCGTTCTCAGTCGATAGGTTCGAAAAATTATCGTTATCGTTCGATTATAAAATTTGACTTATTCATCGTTATTTGATAAGTTCAAAAAATCACGATACCGAGCCTTGGTTGATATAGCCTCGGTAGAAATTTTGGGGTATCATATCAATTGATATTGCCTCGGTAGGAATCACTATCAATTGATGTGCATTTGCTAGAATTGCAATCAATTGATAATATAATGTAAAAATCACAATCAATCGATAGCTGACTTCTTTTATCACAATTTATTGATAGGACAATTTAGGATATTACTATTAATCAATTGAAAATTTGGAATGATCAAAAACTATCGATACTGCTTGTTCCAACCGATTCCATGCCTTGGTGAAGGGCTCAGGGTCGGTACGCACCAGTGGCTGGTCGTGCTCGTGGCACAGGTCAGCGAATTCTTCGTCGTTCTCGTTGTCGAAGGCCGTCTGGAAGGCCGAAACCACCTCGTCCAAGTCCATGGCGGCATCCCGCAGGTCAACATCGCACGAACCACACACCTCAGGGCAACGTGCAGTGTCGTGAAAGTGTCCAGGGCAGAGTGGGCACTCCTGTACGAAGGCTGAGGATGCGGAGTGAAACGAGATGCTCCTAGCACCTTGCGCCCTAATACCTTGAGGCCAATTCCCGCCCTTCGGGAGTGGGGACGCTCCGAAGCGGTGCTTCCATCCCACGTGACGATTACGCCCGTGAAATTTACCGTCGGTACGACGGTTTCGTTCATCGCGCCACTTGGACGGTGGAAATCTCACACCACCGCCCCCATGCGGACGGTGAGAGTCTCTCCGCGGCGGCGGTGCGTCTCGTGAAACATCACGCTCGTCATGTCGTAGGGAGGCAAGAAGGTTAGTGGCCTCACCAATCACACGAGCGAACTCCTCAAGGAAGTCCGTAATGTCATGCTGCTCGCTACCCGTGTAGGCCATCCCGAGAGGTGTGTGCGTCGGGACAGGTGCGGCCGCCTTGGGGCGGGTGGGAGGGCCATTAGGGTTCGCACACCACCAAACCTCTAGAACGTGGGTGTAAATCTCTTCGATGCCCACCTTCGCCAGCTCAGTGTCCAGGCGAAGTGGGGTAACCACCTCCTTGTAGAACTCGACGTCCAGTGCCGCCAGCAGCTGCCTCTTGGCGGCCTCGTCGTCCAGGGGGCCCGCTCCGCTAGCCGCGATAGCTTTTAGACACTCGTCAAATTGCGCTACCAAGGGCTCAGGGTCATCAGACGAACCAAAAGAAATGCTCAAGAGTTCTTCGTGGTGGCGGAGCGGCCGATGCCCAGGCGGCAGCAGCCGCTTGGTCACCTCAAGGAGGGCACGCTTACCGTCGCGCGGAGAGATCCGAGCCGAAGCGTCAACCCACCTTCGAGCTGGAGAGTGGGGCGTTGTCAAAGAGACCAACGCACGAAGTAAAATGTCGTTGAAGATCGGGTGAACCTCCTTGGTGACGTCCACGAGGTCAAAGATGTCCTCGTTGGCGTTGTCCTTGTTGACAAATGATGCCTCCAAGGCAGTAACCAAGGAATCCCAAAGAAGTTGGCGATGAGGTTCACTTCCGGAAAATGAGGACGCCTTAGTACCTAAGGTGTCCTTTGCAACACGCTTAACGACGTCAGTGTCCCAGGATGATTGCAAAACGGCATTGCCGCGTGTTCTGTCAGCAGCAGCGAGTACAATTTTCGCTGACTGCGGGGTGCTCTTATAGCGAGCACCCACATTTCTAGCAAAAATGGAGTCTAGGCGCATTCTAGCGCCCACGGCCGGTGTACCAACGGAGGATGAAGTCATCAGAATAAATTCCTATAGGAGGGGGGTTGGGGAAAAGGCGAGGTGCAAATTGTAAGGTGGCGGGCGACCGTAATGCAGTTGCGGAGTAAGGAGAAGATGGGGTCGAACGAAACCAACGAAGTCGAATACGCGACGGCCAAGGAGATGTTGACAGGGGTGATCAAGCCAAGTCTAAAACAAAATCCAACGCGGACACTCGAAGAAGTCGCCGAAAGTCCCAACTCGAAATCTCACCGCAACATGGTGCAAACCGCACGCCCTAAAGTGGCCAATTCAACACCTCGCGAGGCCCCAACGCCCCGCCAAGCGGAAAAGCTTAGCCAATCATGGCAAAGTCAGCAGTGATAAAAGCGGGGTAATACCCCATAACCTGTGAGATATAATATACCGTATTATATCGGGGTGGTCACTGAATACTTTTCATACAAGTGTAAACTGTTTATAAAGGTAAACGAATATATAATGCATATGTGACCTAGGTATCTGTCACCAAGTATTGTACGAGTACTGGTACAGTCGAACGGAGTCATGCACGGTATGACCTACGGTGCACTGAATCCAGCAACCGTCACCAGTAGACGGGAAACACCCGTTAGGTATTTATGTGATCTCTACTTTTATCAATGACACTTTTATCGTTCTGACTTCGTAAGCCTCAACCCATGGTTTATATCAACTAGCTAGATATATACAACATACCTATATATCTAACAGGTGCCGATAGCCGATTGACCCGCCGGTGTCAGCGGTGGCGTGATCTTTCCCGCGGGAGCCGGCATCATTCGTGGAGCCCGAGGAGAAATCTCGGGCTCCGATCGACGACTCGTTTTCGGACGTGGACGAGAAGGATTCACCTACTCCAATCGACGGGGGGCCACATGCGGTGACACCTTGCGGTGTTTCAACGGTGCGCCCTCAACAGGTGGTGGGCTGCGGTGTGCCGCCCTTCGGCATGCGTCCGTCCTTCCTTATGCTGGCATGTTTCATTGCTGTGTTTCGGCATTGCCGGGGCTGCGGCGGGGTTCGGCGACATGGGCACCAGCACTGACGGCATCTCCGCCACCGAAGACCCGGTGATGTGTAAGGGGGCACTTTGCATTTACTCGGGGGTGGACAAATTGTCCCCCGAGGCACGGCAGCAGGTACTGCAGCTGTTTGCTGCAGCTGGTGGTGGCATGGCGGCAGCTGCACCTGGTG